TTCTACTGAACTACCTCCCCATCCCCTATAGGCTCTTTATTGCTGTCTCCTGTCTTATTTTTCTTTCTTTTCCTTTGTTTTAGGTTTATTTAAGGTTTTTTTTTTTTTTTTTTTTTTTGTGGAACCGGGGATTGAACTCAGACCCTTGCACTTGTCAGTGAGGCACTTATTCCACTGAGTCATCTCCCCGGCCCCCTAAGGATGAGTTTTTTATGTACTACAAGTTAAAAAAATGATTAGCTATAAATAGAACAAAAGGGAAGAATGAACTTATCAACATATCCTTTCATTCTCAAAATTGTTAATGCCTGATTTCTCTTTTCTATTGTTTGCTTGAGATTTATCAAGTGTATTAATCTCTCAAAGAATGAAATTGTGGTTCTGTTTCTTGTGTAGCATTTTTTTTTTTTCCAGAACCAGGGATGGAACTCAGGACCTTGCGCTTGCCAGGGAAGCGTTTATTCCACTGAGCCATCTCCCCAGCCCCTTGTGTAGCATTTTGCTCTCTGAAAAAATTAACATGCACTACACTTGACTTTTTTTGACATAAGGTTCTGTGAATTTTAACAGATAGATTCGTGAAACTATCACCAAAACCACAACACACAATAGTTCCATCACTTCTTAAAGCTTCATGAAGGCTTCCTCACCCTATTCTGACATTCTTTTTTTTTTTTTAATTTTTATTTATTTATTTATGTGTGTGTGGCCAGCTCAGTCCACCAGGGGGAGGGGCTGGCTGGCATGTGGTGCTGGGGGATTGAACCGCGGTCCCTGTGCTTTGCTTAGCTTGTTCTAAGTAGGTGCTTTAGACCACTGAGCCATCTCACCAGCCCTATTCTGACATTCTTAACCTATGCTGACTTGTTACTAAGTTCAGCAGTTCTGATTTGTCCAAAATGTAATACAAGTGGAACTACATAGTATGTATCTTTAATTTTTTTTTTTCTAAGAGTCATTTCCACTTGGCTTTACAGATAGGTTTTATTTAAAAGTATGTGCCGGGGGTGGGGAGGGGCGGGGGGCGGGGGGGCGGCTCTTTGGTCTCAGCAGCACAAGGGAGATGACAAGGGAACGTCATCCTTTGGAAAGTGCCACAATAAGACGCACACGTTGTGCTGCGGCTATGGCTCTACGGCCTACCACCTTCAGAAGTCGACTTGTGGCAAATATAGCTATCCTGCCAAGCGCAAGAGAAAGTATGACTGGAGTGCAAAGGCTAAAAGGCGAAATACCACCGGAACTGGTCGAATGAGGCACCTAAATATTGTATATCACAGATTCAGGTGTGGATTCCGTGAAGGAACGACACCTAAACCCAAGAGAGCAGCTGTTGCAGCATCCAGTTCTTGAGAATTGCAGCAATCACTCAAAATAAATGCTTTGGTTTTAAAAGAAAAAAAGAAAAGTATGTAATGGGGGCTGCCGAGATAGCTCAGTAGTGCAAGTTCCTGAGTTCAGTCCCTGATATCACGGTGGGGGGGGGGAGAGATGTAACAGGGAGGGGATGCATGTAACCTCTTAGGAATAGTATCTTTCAACATATTTCTTTCCATTTTATGGCTGAGTATTGCTCAGCAGAGTTCTACTTGTATGTCTCAAAGTTGTTTATCCATTCAACTTTAGAAAGACTTTTAGTTTGTTTCTACATTTGCAGATTTATGAGCAGAGCTACTATAAACCTGCAGATGGGTTTTTATATAAAATATGTTTTTATCTTTCTAGAGTAAACATCTAAAAGTGGAATTAGTGAATCACATGGTAAGTATATGTTTCGTTTTAGAGGACACTGAGAAATACTTTACCAGAGTGGCTACACTACCAGATAATTTTTTATTTGAAAACATTTCTCAGTTTCTAGTTTGTATCTTATAATCTTACTAGTGTATTTCATGGATTAAATCCTTTTAATTTTGATAAGTATTTTTTCTTTAGTGCTTTCAATGTCATATCTAAGAATAACACAAGGTCATGAAGATATTCTTGTTTTTCAAAAGTTTTATAGCTTTACACTTTAAATTATATAATTTATTCTGCATTAATTTTGATGAATTATAGGCTGAGAAATTTTATCTTTAGAGATGTCCAGTTCTATCTGATTAAAAGTTTATTCTATCTCCATTGAATTACATTTGCATCTTTATAAAAAATAAATTTGAAGCTAGCATGGTAGCATATGCCTTTAGTTCCAGCTACTTGGAAGGTTGAGGTAGCGGTATCACAAATTCAAGACCAGCCCAGGCAATTTAGGGAGACCCTATCTCAAAATTAAAATTAAAAAAAGGGCTAAGGATGAAGTTCATTGACAGAGAACCTCTGAGTTCCAACCCCAGTTTTTAAAAGAAAAAAACCATTTTTGTGTACGTCTATTTCTGAACTATCTCATCTGTTGTTTATTGATAAATCTGTCCCTTTGTCAAACCACATCCTGATTAGTATGACTTTATGACGGTTGTTGAAATGTAGTAGTGTGTATCTTACAACTTTGTTCTTTTAAAAAATGTTTTAGCTATCCTACTTCACTTAGAATTCCATAGAATCTTTAGAATCAATGTACCTGTATCTCTAAATGATATTCTGCTGGAATTTATATTAGAATTGTATTATATGCATTCATCAGCTTACAAATAATTGGCATATTAATTATGTTGAATCTTCCAATCCACAAACATTTTACATCTCTCCATTTATTCTTCAACTGAGTTTTGCAGTAAAATACATATGATGCCTATATTTGGTTCAGTTTATTTTCTTTTTCAGTTTACTCTTAAGTAATTGCTAATTTGGAAGTATTGTAAGTGGTATTTAAGTGCGAATATGTTGACTTTTGTTTATAAACTGTGTCCTCCAAAAATTGTTGAATTCAAACTGTAAGCCCTGGTGTGATGGTATTTGAAAAGGTATTTGGTATTTGTGATGGCCTTTGGAAGGTCCATGAGAACGCACCCTTCATAAGGAAAATTAGTGTGTCTTGGGGCTTTTGTGAAGTGATTGGGTTGTGAAGGATCTGATCTGATTGGTGGTTCAGTGGATTAGCTGGATGTGGTAGAAACTGTAGGAAGTGGGGCCGACTTGGAGGAAGCAGGTCCCGGGGAGCCTGCTCTTGGAGGGCGTATTCTCTCCACTTCCCGTCTGCCATTAGGTGAACAGTTTGCTCTACCACTTGCTCCCTAGCGTGGCATTTTGCCTCACCGTAAGTACAGAAGCAATAGAGACAAATGACTATGGGACAAAAACCTAGGAAACTATGAACCTAAATAACATTTTTTTTTCCTTTAAGCTGCTTTTTCCCCTCAGGTATTTAGTTACAGCAATGGCAAACTAACACAGAATTCTTACGAGAATACCCAAGACAGATGTCCCCCTTCCCACCTCAGATATAGGGAGAAGGCATCCGTCTGCAAACCAGGAAGAGGGCCCTTGTAGACCACTGAGTAAGCTGGCATCTTGCTCTTCTACTTTCCAACCTTCAGAACAGTAAAGAATAAAATTGTTACTTTTATTTTAACACCAGTCTGGGGGTGTTTTTGTTATAGCAGACAAAACTGAGTAAGACAACTTTGTATCTTGCGATCGCAAGCTAAACTGCATCATTACTATTAGGAGCATTAAAAAAAGACCCAGTAGTATTTCCTATATGGACAATCATGTTAACTGCAAATTTAGGGACATTTATTTTCTAATTTCCAATCTGTACAGGACTTACAAATCAAGACTAACAAGTAGTGAAGGGTGGACGTCTTTATTTTGGTTTCAGTCCTGGGGGGAAAGTATCAGGTTTTTACACTTATGATAATAACTCTAGTTTTCTTTTTCTTTCTTTTTTTTTTTTTAAATGAATTTAGTACAGGTTCTGCAGGTTCTACAGGGTCTCACTACATAGATCGGACTTGTAGTGATGCTCCTGTGTTCAGCCTCCCAAGCCTGAGATTACAGGTACGTGCCATTACGCCCAGTATCAATCACCGTCTCATCGAGCCCCGGGGACAGGGCCGGCACTGCAGTCCTAGGACTCGAACCCCCAGCCTCTGCATATGCCTAAGCAGGCGCTTTAGTCCACTGAGCTACCTGGCTGGCCCAATAACTCTAGTTTTCTAGTAGCTGTCCTTTTTAGAGAAGTTCCTTTCTATTCTCATCATATATGAATGCTGATTTTGTCAGATACCTTTCAATTGAAACAACTGTGTGGTATATTTTTTCTTTTGAGACTATTATTACTATGAATTACCTTGACATTTTAAATTTATTTTTATTATTATTTTTAATTTGCATAGATGTGCTTTTTATTTTTTTTAAAAAACACCAAAAGCAATGATACAAAATTGCAAAACAAGATAATAGATCATTAACAATTGTTAATATAATGTATATCATCTTCAAAATAGTTATTTTGGTCACAAGATATAGACATTATCAGACAATATAAGAATAAATCTTTCTTTTACAATGAACTAATAGAAAATGACATATTTTTAAATAATGAGCCAAACTTACAATTCTGGAATAAAGCCCACTTGGTCCCCGTGTTTAATTCTCTATATTCTTTTTTGTTAATTTTCATTTGTTAATTTATTATTTTGTTATATATTTGTTTATTTATTTAGTACTGGGGATTGAACTCAAGACCTTGCACTTGCCAAGCAGGTACTTATATAGCTGAGCTATATCCCCAGCCTCTGTGTTGTTTGGATTGCATGTCACTGTTTCTTCTGCCACTTCCATTCTTCCATTGAGGCCATCTAGTCAATAATTTGTTTTAGGTGCTATATTTTTCAGATATATAATTTTGATTTGGTTCCTTTATATTCTTTCTTTCTTGGTATCTGACTTTTGCATTTATTTACCCTTTTTCAGCATGGTTAAAAACACCTGCTTTAATATATTTTTTATTAATTCTAACATCTGTCACTTAGGCATTGTTATAATTAGGGTTTCTTTTGCTTTGGAAACTGAGATATTACTCATTCTTCTTATAGCTAAAATTTTGCATTGCATTGTACACATTTTGAATATGTTATGGAATTTTAGATATTACTTACATCCTGAGAAGAATATTAATTTGTTGATTTCTATTTTTTTCATGAGGCAATTGGTCTAGAGTCAGCCCACAAATTCTGATCTGCATTGTGTGAGCTGTGCTCAAACAGATTTTCAAACATTTCTAGTGTATTCAGGTCTGTTTTTTGTGTGCACCACCTAGTGGCCTGCTTGGGGACCTATGCAGTAGTACACACTAGCTGTTAGCTCCACGCATGTGCAGTTCATGTGTAACACTGTGGGATCACACTGAATCTCATTGTTTTGGAAATAGCCTTACTGTCATTATGCAGGAGTTCAGTACTGGAGTGTAGGCTGCCTGAGCAGCATTTTTGCACCCAAAGCACTGAGTGACAAGTGGGCACAGTCTTCTCTATTTTCAGGACCCTCCCCAGTACTTCTCCAGAGGTTGGATACACAGGTGAAAGGATACCCTGTGCCTGACTTTC